GCATAGTCCTAGCCATGTCTTCAAGAGTCCTGTTCTTTCTTTCAACTACTCCATTTTGTTGAGGAGTCCTAGGGGCAGAAAAGTTATGATCTATACCATTTTCATCACAGAATTCAGCAAACTTAGCATTTCAAATTCAGTTCCATGATCAGACCTAATGGATGCAAGTTGATTTCCTAATTGTTTCTAAGTTTTTCTAACAAAGGCAGTAAACATGTCAAATGCTTCATGTTTAGATGTTAGAAATAGTACCCAGGTAAATCTAGAATAATCATCTACAAGTACCATTACATATTTCTTTCCACCTCTGCTCATGGTTCTCATTGGACCACAGAGATCCATATGGACCAGTTCCAATGACTTGGTTGTGCTTACCATTTTCTTGCTTTTGAAGGATGATCTTACCTGCTTCCCCCTTGCACAGGCCTCACAAACTTTGTCTTCCTTGAACTTGATGTTAGGTAACCCTATCACCAAGTCCTTAGAGACTAGTTTGTTTAGCTGATTCAAACTGGCTTGACCAAGCCTTTTGTGCCACAGAAGGGGATCATTATCCAGCACACTTAGGCAGGTTAGTTCATTTTCTGAGAGAGTAGACAAGTCTACAATGTAAATATTGTTAACTCTTTTTCCCTGCAAAACAATCTTGTCAGTGGTAAGGTTAATCACAAAGCATTTAGTAGAGGTGAATGCTACAAGGTTACCTCTGTCACACAGTTGTGACACACTGATCAGGCTGTATTTCAAGCCATCTATCAAGTAGACATTCTCAATGGAGTGAGAGTCTGTCTTACCTACCTTTCCAACCCCAATAATCTCACCTTTCTTCCCATTTTCAAATGAGACATTACCTCCCTTTAAGTCCTCAAGTGAAAGGAATTGGTTCTTGCTTCCAGTCATATGTTTTGAGCAACCACTATCCATGTACCATACTTGGCTGCTTCCCTTCACTTGGACCTGCAAAAAGAAATCAGGGGTTAGTCTTAGGAACCCAAACTAGTTTGGGTCCCTTTCTATAGGCAAAGGGATAAATCAGATTCCTTCTAGCCCATCCAGGCAGCCTATTTTTTTCTTGAACAAAAGCTTTGTTCTTTTGACTGGCCTTTTCTTTTGCATTACATTCAATTTTGTAATTGCCAGTCTTGCCACAGTGTGTGCAGATTTTGTTCTCAGGAAGAGTGAGGTACTTGCTTTTAGGATCCCACTTAGGTGCTTGAGTCCCATAGCCAAGTCCTCTTTTGTTGCTACTGTGATGTTCTTGTAGCCAGGAGAGTGCATCAGAAGCCTTGTTCCATTTGCAAGTTCTATCTAGTTCATGTTTTACTTTCCCTAGATCTTCTTTTAATACTCTTATCTGCTCATCCTTCCTTTTTCCTAAGTTTTCTTCTAGGGTGAGATGTGTGTGATCATCTTTCTTCTTTCATGTTCCTGATTTCAGTTTTAAGTTCTCATATCTAAGTTCTAGAACACTAGAGTCAAGTTCAAGAACCTGGTTCTTTAACTCAACATTTTTACTTTCACTCTCATTAGCCCTAGACTCTAGATTTTTGCACTTGGCTTTTAGGATCACACATTCCCTAGACAGTTGTTCCTTCTCATTGTTAATTATCTCAGACTCATCAATGAAGTCTAGCAGTAGCTCAGACAACCTTTCTTTAGACAGGAATTTAATCTTGTCTTTGAGATGAAGAATACTTACCTCTTGTTCATCATCTGATTCTCTGATGGCCATAAGTGCTTGTTCATTTCCAGCTTCATCTTCCGAGTCCTCATATGATGTTTCTCCCCAGGCAGCAACCATAGCCTTTGTTAATCCTTTGTTCCTTTTTGGTTGAACATGTTCCTTCTTCCTGTTCCTTCGTTCAGTCCTTTCCTTCTTCCACTCGACTTCCCATTGAGGACAATTCTTGATCATGTGATCAGTCTTATCACATTTGTAGCAACCCTCATTGGTCTGTTTCTCAGGAGCCCTTGGTTTGTTGAAGGTTGTACCTCTTGAAGAGCCCTTTCCTCTTATCATGTATTTTTTGAAATCTCTTGTGATCATAGCCATTTCCTCATCCTCCAGATCTGAACCTTCAGCAATTCTAAGAGCCAGACTTCTTTCCTTCTTGGGTGCATCCATTTTCATGGTTTGCCTTCTCAGTTCATAAGCAGTAAGGTTTCCAATTAGTTCATCCAGCTTAAGGGTAGCAATATTCTTTGATTCCTGAATACTAGTGATTTTGCTTTCCCAAGAGACTGGCAGAACCCTTGTTAAAATCTTCTCAACTTTGTCTTCTTCAAGGATAATCCTTCCAAGATACTTAAGTTCATTCGTCAATGTGGTGAACCTTGTATACATCTCTTGGATGGTTTCTCCTTCCTTCATGGTGAAGTTCTCATATTGAGAATACAGCAGTGTTCCTCTAGACCTCTTCACTTGAGGTGTTCCTTCATGAGCCACTTGCAAAGTGTCCCAGATTTCCTTAGCAGTGGTACAACTTTGAATTCTACTGTACTCATCTGGACCTAGTCCACACACAACCCATTTCTTGGCCTTGGCATTCTTCTCCCATTTCTTCAAATCTTCAGCAGTGCAGTCAGCTCTTGTCTTTAGCACATCCACTCCTTCCTCATTCTTCTTTGTAGTTGCCAAAGGACCATCAGTGACTATGTCCCAGAGTTCATAGTCCTCTCCTATGATATGATCTTTCATCCTGTTCTTCCACCAGGAATAGTACTTACCATTGAAGAGTGGAGGCCTAGCAGTGGATTGCCCTTCCCAGTTCCCAGGTGGTGCACTCATCTTGATCTTTTCCTAAGGTGTTAACCTCTTCAAGGATAACCCCGCTCTGATACCAATTGATGTTCTTAACGTCAATACCACACAAGAGAGGGGGGTGATTTGTGTGGTACCCAATTTTCGCTCTAGAAGAACCTGGTTCTTCTAGGTGTACTAACTACTACTGTTTGCGGAATAATAAGTACATAAAATAAAGAACACAAAGATTTTTACATGGAAAACACCTGGCTCAAAAGGTGAAAAAAACCACGACCTACTACTCCGTAGGATTTTCTCAAACTTCCACTAAAATCACTGAGCCAAAAACAGCATTTACAAAACTCTTTGTAAACCTAAGATTTAACTCTAGTCTCGTTGTAGCACACAGCCTCAACTGTTGCGACAACTTCAAGTTAGCATATAATTTGAACACTCTAAGTACCTAATACAATTGCTTCTATGAAAGCTAAAAGGTACAAGTTTAAATCACCTACTACAATTGAACTAGAAATAAGGAAAGACACAATGGAATTGGTTCTTCTATCTCGTTCAAGTAGCTTCAGGAGTGCACACTCAATCTCACATAAATTGCTTGCAAAATCGCCTTGCTCTTTTGCTCTCAATTTAGTTCAACTTCTGCGTTTGTGCAATCCCATGTGAAAGAGAACAATCACTGTCTTTTAATGGGTTAGTAATCAGAGTTTGATTGGGACTCAATTGCTGATCTTCTATCGTAGTTGAGTCCTTGAAGATCTCAAACTCCAACACTATCTTTATCCGGATTGTGTTCTCTTCATATAAGGAGACTTTCTCCCCTTATCCAATATGCAACCTTTTCGATCAGATCAGGAGATATTGCTGCTTGATCAGTAGGACTTATCTCCTTCACGTGCATCTCACATGTATAGGTTAAGCATGACTATGTTTCACATGATGGACCTGGTCTATGACTGAGTTCATTTGTCATTCTTCAAAACTTCACCTGTTCCTGGGCCAACATTTGTGTTACATGTATACAACTTGTTCAAATTCTTGTCTTATTATTTGAGTTATACAACGTCCAACATGCTCTACTTGCAACTATTTTATTCAACTATTTATTTGTCAATGGACTAATTCGTAAGTATAAGTTCGACCGGGACCCACAGTTGTGGACCGAGAGGGGTGCCTAACACCTTCCCCTCAAGGTTATTTCGAGCCCTTACCCTAATATCTGGTAATGCAAACTGGTCTAAGAGTTAATTGCTCTAGGTGCCCTAACGCACCATAATCGGTTAGGTGGCGACTCTTCAAATACCCAATTCCCAAAAGGAAACGAGTTGTTACCCCCATGAATATCGAAACCCGGACTTCCCCGTCAAAAAGGGGAAAAAGGGGGTGCAGCATCAGTTACAGTACAGTACGATACAGTCAAACCAAATAACAAATATTATTTAACAATAACAGACAATACAATCTATCCAAACATTGTATTCATAAAGCGAGACGGTACAATACGATACAATACAATACAATACATTATAGAACGATGGGGAATAATGATCCAAACAGATGCTAAGAACTAAGAACTGACGGCAACCCTGATTGTTTTTAATTTATGTTAGTATGACTTAATTCTATTTTTTATTTATTTAAATAAGACTCCTAATAGACCTTATATTGTGTTCTATGATTAACTTAACTACATTAGGTGTAAACACCCGATGCGAGTAAGTTTTTACCCTTTTCTTTTTATATATTATTTTATTGCATTCCAAATGGAGCCCACACATTTATTTTTTCTTTTCCTTTTCCTTTTTTAGAAAAGGATTTACCTTTTTATTGTGCTATTCCTTTCCTCTCTTCCCTCTATAAGATTCCAATTAACTAATCAATTTGTCAAATTAGGATCAAGTGAGATCTTAAACATTCTCATATTTACCAACTACCATCAAAAGTGTATTAAGTGATCTAGATTATATTCTAATCTAATTTAGAACGTTATGTTTATGGTTATTTCTTATCTGAATAAAAAATTTAATATTCATAATCTTAAATTCTTTCCCTAAAGTTAGCATCCTTCTTCTCGGGAACAAGTTTTTTTGCTCCTATAAATAAGCTTATCATCTAATTCAAAGTTTCCCTCCATTGCCTTTCAACTTTCAAACGATCTTTGATAAATGGGCCTCAAGACTGGGCTTTACGCCACAACTGCTTTTTATCCTGAAGGAAAGCCCATTATTTAAAAACACCAAACTCTTTTCGTCTGCTCTGCCATTACTACCAAATTCTACTTTCAATCAAACTGGACGTCGAAGTCATCGCTCAAGAGTTGTGGTGCCACGTCATCATCAGTATTCTTCAATGGCATCCAACTCTAGACGAGTTGGGCTGATATACGATGATCAAATGTGTAAGCATTTTGATCCAGACGATGAGTATCATCCTGAGAACCCGAATCGTATACGTTCCATTTGGAAAAAGCTAGAATCTTCTGGAATTACTCAGAGGTAATAGTATGTTCATTTTCCTTTTTGTTCTGTTTAATGGGTATATTCACTAATAATCGTGTTTTTTTGGGGGGTTCAGATGTATTGTTATGAATGGGAAGGAAGCAGAAGATAAAGATATAGCTTTGGTTCATACAAAAGCTCATATTGACTTGATTAGGAATATAAGTTCAAAGAAAATTGGTTTAAAAAGAAATAAGATTGCTGCCAAGTTTAATTCCATATATTTCAACGAAGGCTCTTCAGAAGCTGCTTATCTTTCTGCTGGTTCTGTCATACAGGTAAAGTTACTTCTTTTTTGTTTTTCATAATACGTCAGAAATTGTTATTTGCCCTTTTTTTTATTGAGCACTATTTGGTTTGGTGTGAAACTTACAAACTTTTCCAAATAATGAATAGTGGTGGAGCCAGAAATTGTTATAAGGTGATTCAGAAGAATGTGAAACTGCCACATTTAGTATTATTGAACCACTTTTGCGAGAAAGCTCTTCTTTTATATATATTTATTTATTTCAAGGGGATTCAAAAATTAAAATGCATGCACAAAAAATTACTTTTCCGTTATTCCACAGTGTAATTTTTTGAACGAAGGCCACTGATCAAGCACCTGCTGTTAGATGCTATTCGGACAATGTAATATGGAATTTTTTGTGGTACAATATACTTGTTTTACTGTGCTGATCAATTGCTGGGTCCTCTAATATTCTTGATTCTTTTGCTGCACCTATCACACTATTTTAGGGCTTTAATCATGTGTGTATGAATAACATAGGTTGCTGAGAAAGTTGCTGAAGGAGAACTAGACTCTGCCTTTGCCGTTGTTAGGCCTCCTGGACATCATGCTGAAGAAAATGAAGCAATGGGATTTTGTTTGTACAACAATGTCGCTATAGCAACACGTTATCTCTTGGACGAAAGAGTAAGAGTTTGTTTCAGTTCATCAAACTTAAGGTGGATTCAAATCTTTGAACAGTATTGCGAATCAACTCAAAGGTTTTACATGTAGTACGTTTAATTTCCTTGCAGCCTGATTTGGGGATTAAGAAAATTTTGATTGTTGATTGGGATGTCCATCATGGAAATGGCACTCAAAAGATGTTCTGGGATGACCCTCGAGTACTCTTTTTTTCTGTGCATAGGTACGCATGTGAATCCTCGTAATTGCTACTCATATTTGTTTATCCATTCAAATGTGGCACTCTAGATAGAAAAAATCTAGACCTTCGAGAAAAGAATTTTGACTCAAACTTCACCCTTCTGTATTCTCTCATTTCGAATCCTTGTATAGTCTTTATAGTACAAACCCAGTGTATTCCCACAAGTGGGTCTGAGAGGGTAGTGTGTACGCAGACCTTACCCCTACCTGTAAAAAGGCAGAGAGGTTGTTTTCGGTAGACCCCTGGCTCAGGGGTGTAAATAAAGATGATTATAAAAAAATGCTGGATTTAGTCTCTTAAGGTGTATATTGTGTACCATTGATGGTCTTCATTAGTCCCTCTTTTTATTAGGCATGATTTTGGAAGTTTTTATCCTGGTGGTGAAGACGGGTCACATGTCATGACTGGTGAAGGGCCAGGAGCAGGATATAATATAAATGTTCCTTGGGAGAATGGCCGCTGTGGTGATGCAGACTATCTTGCTGTGTGGGATCATGTCTTGATTCCTGTTGCCAAAGAATTTGGTCCTGACATCATCCTGATCTCTGCAGGATTTGATGCAGGTTAGCTAGAGCTTGGTTTTATTCTCCGTGGGTCTTCTCATCATTTTCTGTAGTATTTCTCTTTTCTCATCTTTTTTCTCTCAGTTTTGATTTTCATTTCTTAAGGCTTTTACAGCATTTTACGGTATTTATCGGTTAGCAATTTGTTGATTCTTTATTATGCTTGCATGCATGATACAGTGCTTTCTTCAATTTTCTTTTTCATTTTTAAAATTTTATTTTCCTTTTACGTAATTTTGTAGTTTCATGTTTTATTTTCAACATGACTTGGACTTACCTTAATATAGCATAAACATCATTTTCCTTGCCCCATGAGATTAATCAACTCCACTTTTTAGTGATAATTCATTTTTTGAATTTGTTAGTGCTGCAAGTATAATCACTAGCATCCGTGAAAACTGTCCATACTAAATTTGATAGCTCAAGATCTTCTTGACTTTGTTATTTAATATTGGTTTACTGAAAGACAGATTATTCTTATGTTTAGCTTTGGGATAAAGATAGGATAATGCCTGAATGTGTCTGGTTCATGATGCCTTATCCATGTAACTGGAATGATTGGTGTTTTGCATACAATATGCCTTCCAAATACTATCAAGTATTGAACAAAACTAGGATCTTGGGAACATGTGCATACTGGGAAAAAGTGGTGTGGTTACTGCTATTTGTATTTCCAGACAAACCCTTTTCCGTTTTTATTTCAATATTTAACCCTTTTCATTTGTATTAAATGATTATTCCAGCGATTTTGATGCAGATACATGTCTTGTACATCTGTTAAGATATCCCATTTCGTTTTGCATAAATTTTGGAGATTGGTTTCGTATACGCGTGTTAGTTTTTGAATCTTCAATAGATTTCATATCATGACCTTTTTTCATTGGTTACCGTGGCTGAAATGTAAATAGCTTTGGTGACACGAGACATAGTAAAATTCCCTGACAAACAATTTAAATTACTTTTTAATCTTTGCTCTCATGTATTTGTTGAACTTCTATTCAGATTGGCATTCATAGTCTTAACAGTTTTAATGTTTTGATGTGAATAGCTGTTGGTGATCCTCTTGGTGGATGTCGTGTTAGTCCATATGGATATTCTGTGATGTTGCACAAGGTGAGCTCTAAGTAACTTTCACGAGTAGTCTTTGATTTCTTGCTAGTGATATTCTTACTTTCTTCTATTTATGTCTTTCCTCCTGCATTTATCCAATGGCATGTGAATATATGCTTGTTTTTTCCTTTTCTTGTGATTTGTTTCTATAAAGTACATATTTAGAAATTACACTTACCTTTTTAATTTGCATATTTTAGTTGTTGGAGTTTGCCGGAGGAAAGATTGTAATGGCACTTGAAGGTGGATATAATCTGGAGTCTATAGCAAATTCTGTCCAAGCTTGTATTGAAGTTTTACTACAGCAAAAACCGATTGCTGGATCTTCTGAGGCATATCCATTTGAATCCACATGGCGAGTGATACAGGCTGTAAGGATGTTTCTGCCCTAGCCCATTCCGCTGCTCCTCCCTTCTTTTTTCTTTTTATCTATTCCATAGCCATAAAGCATCTTGCGGACTGATTTTTGTGTCAGTTAGCCAAATTGCCTGCACATTAGGAGTAACATTTTGGCCTTATGGTTTAAGGCTTGTGTACTCAGTTTTTCCTTGTACGCCATAAATGTGTTCAGGTACGTGACAAGTTGAGTGCATTTTGGCAACCACTTGCAGAGAGATTACCGGAGAAAACAACTAGTATGAGAACTCCTTACATTCAGGTCAGATTTGTTTTCCTTATTTTAGTATAATCAATAACCTTCTTGTGAACAATTTCTCCCACACAAGTTGTTGGAGCCTGTGTTTAAAAGGTGGAAGACACCAATAACAGCAGGCATATGTTGAAGCATGAAGTATGTGCTTTTTAGCTGTATTTGTTATCATTACAAAAATAAGAAAACTTTAAAAAAATCAAAAATATTGTTAAAATGAAAAACAAGAGATAGAAGAGATGGAGAAAAGATTGTGATGCATTGAGTAATCTGCTGTTGTGTTTAGAATATTTTAGCACGTTAGGAATTGTCTGCCGTGGGATGTAGACTTTGCTTAAACCTCCACATACCGTAGCCTCGAGGTTCATAGGAGGCACCTGGTCCCATAAACGTACTATTACCGACAGAGTGAGATGAAAACTATCTATTAGAACGGAATCATGATAGGAGTTCCTTGAGCTGAGCCCACCGTTAATGGAACTTGAATTGCTGATATCAGTTGGAATTATTGAACTCCTTTGTTGTGATAACAATAATGTCTTTTGGCAATCAGTAGTAAAAGACCCCCTATGCTAAGTTCTACTTTTGGTTGCCATGTCTGTGGATGGCAAGTCCAGGGGATCATTTTGGTGCCATGATTCCTAAGTTCATTGTTTGGTGTAACTAACTGATAAGTAGTTCAGTTACTAGAGTTAGTGCTGGCAAGGAATTGTGCAGACTTTTAAGGTATGAGGTCACGCATACTAACGAATGGATGCCTTGTGTGCGAGTAACAGTTGGTTATTGACGTATTGGATGGATTATCAAGCTTTATTATGCTTCCCGAAATAAATGAGATTTTCATCCACACAAAAAAATACAATGTTCACCATGAAATCCTCCGGAAAACTTATGCTTGTTGCTCCTTGTACCTTTCATATCATTTCAGATTCTTCTCATCAGTAGATTTTCTTACTTTGTTTCAGGTCATTAGCTCTGATTCTGAAGATGAGTACGATACCACTCATACGGTTTCACAAGAACTCGAGAAGGATATTGAGAATATCATACAACCATTTTCAGACCTGAAAGTTAATGATGGTACAGTCGTAACAAGTATATTATTATGTTTACCTTGCGAGAAGTTGCTCTTTTATTTCTGAAGATGGCTTTTCACGATCTTTGAGTTTACACAGGTCAAGCATGCACAATTTCTCACTCTTGGAGAGCAGAGCTTTCGAAGATTGATATATGGTATGCCACATTTGGGTCAAATATGTATCAATCAAGGTTCCTTTGCTATATTGGAGGAGGACAGGTATAGCTATCATGCATTCTCTGAACTGCTTATCTTCTTTATAAACCTTCTGTATCATGGAGTAGTGAGTCGTGAAACAAAATAAACAGCTTATTTTTGGTTTCTTCTGAACTTCCACCTCATCTTCCTTCCCCAAATTTCAAAATGATCTTTGAACTTAGCTCATGCAAAATCCGAATACTTGTTTCTACAGTAGCAAGCAAAAATGCAAAAGTTCTTCTAATGTTCGAGAAATTTCTGAATAAATTATCAAATATGTTTCTACAAAACAAAAAAAAAACAGCTACCTAGTGCATTTAGAACTGATGATGCAAAAACATTTCTTACTAGGATTAATGATGTAGAAAGTTTGCCACGTCTATTACCAACTTGAAATGGTTTGCATAGTCGGTCGTAATTATTTCACAAAACCGTAATGGTTCTCAATTAGTCAGGCATCTTACGATAAGAAATCAGTTTAATGTTAGCTGGGATTGATGCTCGGCAAAGTCTAAATAGTATTGAGTTTTCAGCTCGACATAACATTCTTTTTTGCATTTCATAACAACAAAATGACTTCCAGGTGGAAGGCATGCAAAAGCCATGTATTGGTTCGTTGGATAAAAGCAAGCCAAAGGAGATCATATGGAAAACTTTTCCTCATCGTCTGTTCTTTGCTCGCGAGCGTACAGCTACATGGGGTCCGGGTGGGGTTGCTTTTCTTCATCCTGAAAGCAACAGTGACGAAAAAGCTTATATGTGCCTATATAGGATAACGTATGTGATTCTTTCCTTTATCTGCATGATTTCTCCTTCTATGATAATTAGGAGTTCGCCATTTTGTTGGCATTTTTTAATAAAAAGACCTTTCGTCGGCTCTTGGTGATTTAGAATTATAACTTAATATTTCTTTATTCTTTTTACAGGCTTGAGCAATTTAATGATGTTTTACTTCAAGAGAATGTTTCGAACTTTGACATGAACTCCCCTTTGTTTGACTTGACTGACTTACAATCTATTGAAAACAGCAAATGTGTTTCAGCAGAGGCTGTCAAGGTGTGTTTTTAGCTCTCTGCATTATTCTCATGTGTTATTCTTTAGATGCAATCTGTGTAATGGAATACCTACAGTAAGTTCAATCTTTTGTGCTAGCTTGGGCCTTTAAAATTTTCAAGCATTAGATTGTCTATCATTCCTACACCACCATATTAATGGCTCAAATAGTTAGCATCTAATGGTTCAAAAACTGTAAGATTCAGATCGGCTTAAAAACATGGTAGCATAAATGACTGTATATTTTTGGCTAAGTAGTTCGCTAGTAGTCATTTCTAGGATGGTTTGCTAATGCAATAAGGTATTGGGATAGAGCAATTACTACTCCCATGGATGGAAAATTTTATGTTGACTGTGAAGGATAGCTAAAATAGTTAAGAGTATTGATGAATCCTCCTAGTAATGAATTCGTGAGGATGTGCTCTCCTGGGTATCCATTACACCTGAACTAATGAGTTAACCATGTAGGGATAAGGGTGAGATTTAGCGAACCCTGAATTTGTGCATCAAATTATTTACTATTGAAATGAAATGAACCAATAGAGCATTAAAAGGATTCATTTTGCCAACCCAGCTGATTTAGGATTGAGAGGTGGTTGATTGATTGATAGTAAAAGATGAATTGCGTCAAAAAGAATGTAAAATCTTGGGGCTACACGATGATTATCCGTTCGTGCATCAAACATATCAAAGCTTAGTAGCAGGACAGAATAGTTTTTCTTCTATCCAAATCGCAATCAAATATGGCCTCCTTGGATTAGCTTATATTTTGCTTTGGCATACAATTCTGTTTCTTCGTCTTTATAGCTTTTGAGATCATAGCTTTTCACTAGAATTCCCGAGCAAACTACTACATGGGTAATCTGTGAGTCAGTGAGAAGTATTAACTAATCTTTTGGGCACTCATTTATCTCTTACCTAATTATATTGAAGCTGATTTTTCATCAAAATGTAGTCTTTCCAACTTTAGCCTATGTTGTCAGCTGCTAAAGAATATGGCAATATTGTCAACTTTTCAACTCTAGCCTATGTTGTCAACTTATCTTGACAAATTCCTATCCTGGAGACCATTTTTCAGTTTGAGAAATTAGTTAAGATGCTCTTCGAGCAGTCTTAGTTCCTACTCCATGCCCCACAGCCCCAGACATCTAGTCTTTGCTTGACATAACTCTGAGCTAGATGATTTTTCTCATGGTATGATGTTGGTTGACTCTCATGTAGAATGGCTGGTACCATAATGTTCTTTACCTTGGGAAGGAGAATGGTCTTCCTATTTTGACAATGACGTAAGCATGCTGCCTTTTATTTCGTATGCTATTTTTTTTTTAAATGTATATTCTTGTGAAATTGAATCTCATCCGGCACCTTTCTGCTTCTCTATCAGATGCCAACTCTCAGATATTGATAACTTCAAATCAGGTAAAGTACTTATGCGCAAACCATCTAAAGAATATGCCAATACTCTGATTAGAGGGTTGGTAGAAGGAAAGCAGCTCTCAGAAGAGGAAGCCACCACTTACATACAAGAAGCAGCTGGCAGAGCATTGTGACTACGGTTTCCTTCTTGTTTCTTTAGCTGCTAGAAAATTATGTGACTGCCTCGCAACATATGCTCCAGAACTGTTATTGTACCATTAATTTTTGATGAAGCGACTGCTATCATTTTTTTCGGTCCAGGTGTATATAACTTGTAACATCTGACATAGATGTTTGCCTGTACATAAATTATAGGATTGACATAGATTTTTGCCTATGTGAATTGTTCTCTACGGGTTCTCTACGGCCCTCTACTTTCTTGCTCTCGTTACAGTGTTTTGGCTTAGTGTTGTAAAGTATAAACTTATGAATGATTATTTGGTCACGCCCATTGATGTTGCTAGTCAGAAGCAGATGACGATATTTTGTGGTTTATAAACCTTGCAAATGCAGGTGTAAATATGGCCGTGCTTCGTATTCCATTATGGAATAGTTGCACTAATATCTTTTCATTCTCTCGAGTCATTAAAGGTTGAAATTGGCCATCGTTTAAGCAATGGAGATTGAGCTACAGCCCTTCTCAAAAAGTTCTACAATGCCAGCAGTTAAATCAACTATAAAAGATGATCGCGTTAAATTATCATTTTTATGCGTTAAAAGATGATCGTTGGCCATCGTTTAAGCAATGGAGATTGAGCTACAGCCCTTCTCAAAAAGTTCTACAGTGCCAGCAGTTAAATCAACTATTAAAGATGATCGCATTAAATTATCAATTTTATGCGTTAGAAGATGATCGCGTACAAATCAAGCATTTTGAGCATTGAGTTGAATTACTAAGTTTTGCTTCTGTCATTCAGTTGAATTACTAAAGTTTAGATTGGGTAGTAAATCTAGTTTGTGTCTGTGATGACGCGGTGACGACGTTTATTTTTTTCCCGCTTTTAACAATACCAGAAGCTTGTCATGTTACTGTGTGAAGTTATAGTTAGTTATCCCTCGTCACTTGTGTCATTCTTTCATCAACGTGGAAAAAAATATATTCAACCAAAGTGTTAGCTTCGGTATTACAGCAAAACTTGAGTGGCTTCATTGTTTTTAGATACACAGATTAAGAAACCGTCTTCCATCTGCATCGACCATCGTGTATTCATCTATTATCAAAGAACTTTGATTTTTTAGCTCATTTCGAATTGACTATGGTATAAATGATTTAAATCGTAGACAATAATCTGTAACCCACAAAGAATAAGAATAGCGAACAAATAATGAGCCTCCAAACTCCCAGCAATCAGCTTGAATTGTAGACAATGAGATTCTCTAATATCACCGAGACTTTAGTTTGGCATGCCCCGTCGCTCCTAGATGCTTATGTAATTGATTCCTATGGCGGGAGAAGCAGATAATTAGATTTGGGAAACAAGTGGAAATATAACCTTATTGATCAACAGAAAGATTCATGACTGAGACTGCAGCATCACAAACCTTGTATCAAATTCCTCCCCACATGTCTCGCACGAGTTGCCAGAAAATTTTGATGTTCCCTGAATTCATATGAAACTGTGTTACAACACATAACTTCAAAGCTTGGTCACATTCAGGAAGAGTAGGTAACTGTAGAAGAGAAGAGTAGGTAACTGTAGAAGAGAAGTTGTAAATTCTCAAGATAGCCAAAGAGGGGAGTGGGTGGGGGGAGGGGGAGAGAGAAAAGGAGATTGACGTCAAACAAGCCAGAATTATTGAGTACCTTCTGTTTCCTTCCTTTGGTTGCATCTTTTGATTTGGTATTCTTCTCCTTCCTAACGGTAGTTTTCTTGTCCATACCTTGGCTTGAAACTTTTTCACTATTTCGCGAAAGGTCACTTTCTTTGCGATCATTAGCAGTTTCTGGTGGAGAGTCTGATGACAGGCCCTGGAAAGCTGAGTTATCATTGTATGCACTATCTAACTCAGTGTCAATACCAACTTTAGTCGCACAAGATGTAACATCTCCTCCTCCACCTTCATCGTCTTCTTCTTCCTGTGGTCTCCTGTTTCTTTGTCTCCGGCCACCCTTATTTCTCCTAGTACTTCTAAGATTATTATATTCCATGAAGTCCATTTCATTGTTACTGCTTTCAGCCTGAACATTCTTTGCTGAAGCTTGACGACTGCCACCTGGACCTGCATTCTTCCTACTTTTGCGGCCAGATACCATAGCTTCAAGTAGACTTGCTTCATCATCATCTAATCCAGGTTCATCAACTACTCCCTTTGAATCACTGCCACTTCGATAATTAAACCCATCATCTAATCCTTTTGATGTGGTCTCATCTTCGTTGCTGCTTTGAACCTCATCATCCTCACATTCATCTTCTTGAATTCGCGTACTACCTTCAAATTGCTCCTTTGAATCACTGCCACTTCGATAATTAAACCCATCATCTAATCCTTTTGATGTGGTCTCATCTTCGTTGCTGCTTTGAACCTCATCATCCTCACATTCATCTTCTTGAATTCGCGTACTACCTTCAAATTGCTCTGCTAACTCATCCACCCCATCATCCGCAGATAAATCAGCTGTTATATCACCATCAGCTACTTTTTGCTCCTCACTTACCCCATCCTCCACTAACCCTTCGTATTCATCATCTTCATCATCAAAAGCTTCTCTCAAAGCTGCCACCTTCTCCTTATGCTTCTTGGACTGCTCGTGATTTTTCCACTGTTTCTCGCTCTTGAACTTCTTCGAACACACCACACAGTACAATTCATTCTCATCTGCCTTCTTTTTCCCATCCTCATCCCAATCCTCCTCAATTTCTTCATTTTCCAACTCCTCCGCCTTCGCCCAATCAGGTTCCACATATTTCTTTGCTTTCTCAGCCTTCTCTCTCTCTAACTCCTTCTTTCTCTCCCGTTCCTTTTCCCTCTTCCTCTCCATTTCCTCATTCCGCTTCATCTGCATGTCAATCACCCTCTTATCTCTCTTTTTAACAAACTCCGCCAATCCTCTAACAGTCTCGTTGTATTCCCTTCGTGCCTTTTTCCTCAGCTTCTTGTTCTCCTCCTCCATCACCCTCCTTGACTTTCTATTGGGACCCGCCATCACGTCATACTGATCTACCCAACAAAAGTCCATCACAGTAACAAACCCTAACCAATAGTTATAGAATGCTGTCACCTGCATCACAAAAGAACTCGATGGTTACTAATACAGTAATACACACTGCATTTTACAACAGAATGCCCTTAAAAATATTAATAAGGGAATCAAATTTCGTCTCAAGCTACTTCTTTGGATTATTAATGGGACAAGAAAGTTTGAATATTTTTTATGATGGTCGTGTCTAGGCCAGCTTGCCCGCATCTCTGACTATTCAACTATTCAACCGGGTGTTAGTATTTTCTCAATTCTAGATTGTGATTAATAAACAATCTATATAAATCCTTTCAATTATTCAAAACCGTGGAACTATATGATTTTCACCTAAAATAGAGATACAATAACTTCAATTAAGAAAACTTACCTGAATCCATGATGTGTTTTCTTAATAAAATTGAGCAGAAGTCTTCTTCAGAGTTGTTGTTCTTGAGAAAATCAGTATTTCTCTCTCTTTTCCTTTTCTATGTTCTTTTCAGAATAGAATAGATGGAGTACGCTATTCTTCCTTTTAATAGACAGAGAGAGGGACCATCAGTTAATTCTCACTTTCCATCAAAGTGGGTTAGTGGGGAGTTATAACCATAATTAACTTCCCCCACTTTCCATCAAAGTGGGTTAGTGGGGAGTTATGACCATAATTAACTTCCCTTAATTTTATCCAAATATTAATTTAACAAAATATATTTATATTAAACCAAAATACTCACGTGGGTCATATTTTA